AAGTCTGACGACAGCGATTCCGACTGGGAAGGTGCACCCGGAGCGAAGCAACCCAAACTCACGCCCGAATCAGGGCCTGCTGAACTCCAGAAAGATCTCGGTAACTATGGCAGCGCATCTTCCCAACGCCCGACACGAGTGAGGAAACCTCCTGAAAGATATATCAATGCACCGCTTCAGCCATCAGCCCACAAGAAGAAGAAAGCGACCTCGGCCAAGGCCAAATCATCTACGAAGGAAGCTTCAGCTACAGCAAGGGGTACTTCTGATCAGATTCAGGCTAAGGTTCTGGTACCTTTGGACACGATTGCCAATAACATCGACAACTCATTACAGCCACCGGAGAAAGGGTCCAAGATAGTCTGTCTCAAAGTCCCGGTCACCACATTCACACGCCAGCCAAGCCAGAAATATGACAACGAAAGCTCCGGTAGTGACCTATCTTCCCCGCCTCGTTCTTTGCCATCAACTCCGGTTTGTACAACCCTTCGACCCTTCGGTCATCAAGCTAATCTGCAAATAGATTTCCGCCTACAAGAACACCCAGACCTCTCTTCCGCTGGACGGACAAGGCCAATGTGCTCAGCGTATACCGGAACCCGTACCGGCATCGAGCCAAGATTTTGCAACTCCATTTGCTTCGCAAGAAATCCTCTCAAGCCAGACCCCCATATCGCAATCATGGGAACCAAATACGCCGGAGGACAGTATGCACGACGTCCCAGACTTTGTCGATCACGCGCAAACACCGTCATCAATGCTTTCGAAGGAGGTTGACGGTCGCTTCGCATACCTTACGCCCGAATCAGCTAGCCACTATGATCCGAGTGCTGTACATGAAAAGTCGAACGTTGAGCTTGGGAACGGCCAGGTGCCTGAACAAGACTCATATTTAGCCCAGCCCATACTGCCTTTGGGTTCGACCTGCGGAAGGTGTGGCGCAGCTGGGCACGAAGAGCATGACTGTTCCGTGGCTCTTTCTGTCCCCAACAATCGAGATCGCAGCGGGCAGGTCGAGGCTTGGCTTCGAGCTGGCGATCCCGCCGACCAGACAAAACCGCCCTTTGCTGACCTCGTTGGGCCGGTGCCCAGTCTGTATGCGGAATCAGAAGCAACAACGGATTGCGATGAATTCGTGGGCTCTCCCGTCGGTGAAGGATTCGACCTAGCCGACAACAAACACCTCCATGATATCACCGAGCGACTCATTGCCCAGCAGAATAGAGGTTCGAACAAGCCAGAACCGCACGGACAACCAGAAGTCTGGGCCGATGGACGGCAAGAGATCTGCGAGACGCTACATTACTATCGCGCATACCAAAGCGCCTGCTACTCAACTGGCGGTTTTGCGAGGGGCTTCATGTTTGACAAGGTTGCGCATGCTCGCGACTATATGGATACTAACGTTGTCATCTCACGAGCAGGTGGTGGTCTCGCGAAGGACATTGACTCCGGTGAGATGAAGTCAAAGAAAGACCAATCTGAAGACTCAGCTGCGCTAGGCTTGAGGAACTGCATGCTTCACTACAACCCAGTCGTCATCATCACCGGAGTCGACAACCCCAACATCCCATCAAAGCCACCGCATCAGTACTGTGTTTTGGATCATTTCAAGCCCACCCACATCTGGGCTGAGAAGAGTGGTAACAGCAAGATTGTGCGATATCGCTTTGAGAAGCTGAACACAAAGAAAGAGTCCTGGTGGAAGGAGAAGGATTCTCAGGAAGTTGTAGAGCTTGGCTCGCTGCCACCCCCAGTTGAGAAGATATGCGCAAGCTGCAACGTAAAGTCTCAACAGATATACCTGAACGGATGGATGTGTCTGCAACCGACTTGCGCCGCCTTTTGGAAGATTCTCATGTCAACACCGGGACCCGGGACGAGCACGTCAGCGCAGGAGCAAAAAGAAGCCTCCTTGGTATATGACCCACGCTTTCTCAAGCAGAAGACTCCTTGGCACAACGACGATCACGACTACCCTCTGGTCTCTAACGCTGCTGAGCTTTCAGGACACTCTATTCCCGGCGAAAATACATCCGTCGCATTCTGGTCTGGCATCGTTTGTCCTGGTTGCGGACGCTGCACATCCCGTCTGAACTGGACAAGTTGGGAGTGTTCCAGTGCAGCATGCCGGTACACGAGGACGCCTCCGCACACACTCATCCCCGCGTTATCGCTTCACGACCCATTATGGCCAGTCACTAGCAGCTACACGCTGTCTAGGGATACAATGACACCTCTTTTAGGATTGAAGGTATCATTTGAACATGGATATCGCATCAATCGTTATGATTTACCCGGAGTCAATGGCTTCATCACACACATGATCGCCAACAAGACGGTGCTTGAGGAAGAAGGTGGACCAGATGCCATGTTTGAAGAGCTCCAACAGACGGACATTGGACTGCAGCGACGCTCCATGCCGAACGGTCAGCTCAAAGGACCAAACTACTGCCGCCACTTTGCAGTAAACTACGGCATGCCATACAAGTTCATCGCAGCGACAGCATCTCGCTTCTTTGATGGAGCCGCTCGCCCGATAACCAGCACTCGCAGTCGCCTGAACTGGGCTGCCAAGTTGCTCTTGACCCAAGAGACGGGCAAGAGCATGGAAGAGGTCACCCAAGAATGGCAAGAGAAGGAGTTCAATGAAGTTCTCGCATTAGGATACTTCGAAGAACAAAAGATCAACTACCACGATGACGGCGAATTTGGCCTCGGTCCAACTATCGCAACGTTAAGTTTGGGCGCACCAGGCACAATGCGGATCCGCATGAAAGCCCGCCACTACCACGGCGTATCCTCTGTCGCTGGTCTGTACGATGACGCTGCCCCAATACCTGGATGCGAACACTATGAAGCTCGTCTTGCACTTCAACCTGCTCTCGACGCGCTCAAGATATCAGACTCCAAGGCGTATAATGCGAGGAGGAAGCAGATACCCAAGCAGTTGAAGCTCAACAACCGAGGCAATGCGAGAGATGCGTTGACCATGCAGCTCGGTCATGGCGATATTGTTATCATGCACGGCGCAAATGTACAGAAGTATTATGAACACGCTGTTGAGCACTCGGGTAAGCTGCGGTTTGCGCTTACTTGTCGGTACATCGACCCAACATCGCTGAAGGCTGAGGATCAGCCTCAATATGAGGTTGGGCCGGATGAGGAGCGGTATGATGGATCAGGACTGGTTTGAGTTGTCTGGCACAATCGAGAAGGAAGAAGGAGACTTTGGGTTATATACGGATTTCAACGACGCCAACCTCAGATAGCATGTTTGACTTGTGGTCGTATCTGGCGGATACCATGTTATGTCATGAAGGTGGGCATGTTTTGCATCTCTATACACAATTCATAACGGGTATTTAACTTTTGTTTCTTATGCACATCACCTCATGATTCTTTTGAACTTACATCTCCTGCTTCCACTCCTTGTTGAAGGCCCGTCCAATAACCATTCTCCTCACCTCACTCGTGCCAGCACCAATCTCATATAACTTAGCATCCCTCAGTATCCTCCCAACGGGAACCTCATTCATGTATCCCATACCGCCCATCAACTGCACGGCATCAGCCGCGACCTCACTCGCCCTCTCTGCCGCATACAGAATCGCTCCTGCGCAGTCCTGTGTCTTGATATCTGGACTAGCATGCGACTCATCCACAGCGCGGGCAACACTGTATGTGAACGCCTGACTAGCCCGGTATTTCGTGTACATATCCGCCAGCTTCCCCTGCACAAGCTGATTGTGCGCGATCGGTGTACCGAACTGCTTCCGCTGATGTGTATAAGGAAGGACGTTATCAAGCGACGCCTGCATGAGACCCAGCGGCCCCGCTGAGAGTACAAGGCGCTCGAGATCCAGGCCCTCCATCAAGACGCGTACGCCGCGGTTGATCTCTCCCAACACGTTTTCCTTGGGGACAAAGACGTTTTCGAAAACGAGTTCGCCGGTGTTGGAGCCGCGCATACCCAGTTTGTCTAGTTTGTTCGCGACGCTGAAGCCGGGGGTGGAGGTCTCGAGAATGAAGGCTGTGATGCCTTTGGAGGCGGCGTTGGGTTCGGTTTTGGCGTAGACGACTATTACGTGTGCGTCTGGGCCCTGTAGGTGTCTTGTTAGTACACCTTCTTCCTTCTGACAGCCTCGTATGTAGACGCCGCAAGAGAACGTACGTTTGTAATCCACATCTTGGTGCCATTAAGCAGATACCCACCATCCACCTCCTTCGCGGTACTCTTCATACTAACGACATCGCTCCCAGCACTGTGCTCGCTCATAGCCAGCCCACCAATCTTCTCTCCACTGATCAAACCAGGCAGGTACTTCTTCTTCTGCTCCGCATTCCCGTTCAACATCAACTGGTTCACGCACAACTGGCTGTGTGCCGCGTAACTCAGTCCTATGCTGCCGCTCGCCCGCGACAGCTCCTCCATGACGACACAGTGGGCTTGGTAGCCCATTGCCAGTCCGCCGAACTCCTCATCTGCGGTTATGCCTAGGAAACCCGCTTCGCCGAACTTCTGCCACATTTCGTTTGGGAACTCATTTTGTTTATCCGTGCGCGCGGCGACGTCTTCAGGGATCTCGCGTTGGGCGAAGTCGCGGACCGAGTCGCGGAGCTCGTCGAGGTCGGATTGCGAGGGGGGTGTGAAGGTTTTGGGGTGCTTGGTCGATGCGTGGCGGGCTGTGGTGGTGGAGAGGATGGCGGCGCAGGGGACGCGTGTTTGCCGGATGCTACGTGTGAAGAGGCGGGGGGCTAGAGAGGCCATTTTGGTTATGATCTGAACTGGAAATTGGGAAGTTGAAAGAATCTCGTCAAGAAAAGTGGTGAGATGTTTGACAATACCGTCTTGGAACTTCGGTTTGCGACGGCTGATGGACCGAGGCACCTTCCTAACTGATGGATTGCGGAGGACCAGGGTCCGGGGAAGAGGGAAGCGGCGTAATTCCGCTCTCCCTTCCCATCTATCAACAAGCCTCTACACCACCAACAAGCCCTCAAAGATCCTTGACACACTTCATCGCCCTGTCATTACACTCGCCCACATCCAGTGCGACCAAAAACCTGCTCACGGCATTATACGCCGCAACCGTCGCCGTCAACTCCACAACCATGGTATCCTCCAACACGCCCTTGACCATCTCCGCAACCATGTCTTCAACCTGCACACCAACAGTCATCTGATCCGTATAAACCATAACTGCATACTCCTCCTTGCTGAACCCCAACAGCCCCTCTCTCTCCACCATCCCATGTTTTGTAACAGGTAAATCAAAGATAGTCTGAAGTACTTCTTTGGACACTCCTGCTTTCAGTGCCAGAGCGGCATGTACATCCCACTCGTGGACTGCGTGGTTCAGCACTGCGATGCGGCTTATTGCTAGTTCTTTCAAATTGGCTGGTAAGCTGGTTTGCGTGCGGATTGCGCCGATGAATGAGTTCCAGCCGTCTGCTACCGCGGGGTTATGTAGGAGCGCCAGATCGAGTGGGATGAGGGGGCGCGGCTTTCGTCGCTCGGCGATGCGCTCGTAGACTGGGCGGGCTTCTTCATTTGGAGGCTCGCTTGGGGCGTAGGGGACGCGCATCTTGAATGTAGTTGTAGAGCTGAAGGGTCGTAAGTGGATGGTGGGTGGGATGAGTCGAGTCTGAGGGCGGACGGTTGCTAGGTATGGGCGGAGGAACATTGGATGCGAGGAAGCAAGGAAAGAGGGAGATTATATATCACTATTGTGCATATGCAGGGACTATCACGGATATACTTTCCGGTATACGGAATAGCAAGGCATGGCACTGGTGAGCAATGCTAGTTGTTCAGATAAGAGTGAGTAAATCAGGTTTTTGAAAGATCATTCGATCAAAGCTTCATTCATGCGTAGTTTTCCGTAGATCCAACTATAACAAATATGTACATGTTCAACACCACAAAAGACGAACTAATCTACAACCTGCTCTGCTCATCAAAGACATTCGGTAACCTGGGAATACCTTCCAATCTAGTTGTCTTCTTACCCGCTGGCGCGAGTGTGACATTGTATGTCAAGTCGAGCTTCGCCTTGGGGTCCTTGCTAGGCTCAAAGTCTAGCAGAAGGTCGTCCTTGACGGCAAAGACAGTGTCGTTCGTGACCCATCGGTCGTCGCGGGGGTATAATTGTGTAATGAGCGGCTTGTAGTTCTCGGCTGAAACCATGAGATGAATGTGTGCGGGACGGAAGGGGTGGCGGTCGAGAGTCTTGAAGAGTTGGCCAGCGGCGCCTGTTGTGTGTTAGTTGTGTTCATAAGATATCTTCAGAAGATAACATACCATCGGTAGGCAGCGAGTACGCTGTTGGCTTGTAACAGTAGTACCAGTACTCGCCCTTCTCGTTTGTGGTGAACTTTCCGCGCAGGTTGTTGGGCTCCTGGTTCTCGGGATCTTGGAAGTCGTACTTTCCGTTTGCGCTCGCTTGCCAGATGTCGATGACGGCGTTGGGGATGCCCTTCTTGGTGTCGAGGTCCATGACTACACCGTGCATGAGAGTGGTTTGGCCATCGGGATGCGGGTTTCGGATGATGGTATCGCCGAGGTCGCGGAATGGCGAGTGTGGTGACCAGAAGGGGCCGAGGATTGTGGAGGAGGTGGGTGTCTCGCCAGACTCGTTGATGTGCTTGTGTGCGATCTCGTCGACCAATCTGGCTACAAGTCAGTATGACGTTTGGACTTGCTCAAGGCTCGAAGACTTACGATTCTACACCTAGGACATCTGAAATACGATGCGCCTCGTTCCTGGTGGCTGTTGTGGTCTTGCCAATGGAGTTTACGAATCGCACACCCTCAAACCACTCCTCGTTGGTCAGCTCGACCTCGCGGATGAAGTCGTGAAGATGTCTAATCAGCTTGCCCATGACAAAACGCGTCCGGTCTGGCACATTTGGTCCAATAGCGTTGATGACGGCGTCGGTGAAGTTAGGGTCGAAGCGGTGCGAGCCATTCTCCTGAACCTCAGGCGCTGTCTGTGTGTTTGGGTCCATTTTGGATGTGTAGTAATATAGGGAATCAAGGTACAAAGGGTATCAAGGGGCTGGTGAAGGGAAGTAATGCGGAATAGACATCATGCCTGGGAGGCATGAGCTTAATAAATAGTAACTGAATTCTACCGCCCGCAGCCAACCGAACCGATACCGTTGACAATGGCCGTCTCTCTAGCCGCGGATCAGGCGAGACCTTGTCAGAGCTGTCTGGCGGCATGCTGTACCGGCTTTCAAGCGTACTATGAGCGCGAGGAGCTACAGTGCCGAAGGCTGCGCCAGGTCGCGACGGCTGCCCCGCCTCGCGCTGGGCGGGTTGGCGAATTAAAAGGGAGCCGATGTGGAAGAAGTCTTACCCGGCCTTTTTCCCTCGCAATTTAGCGTCATCAGCACTAATGCCCCGCCTTCGGCGCAGACCCCGGAAGTCTAGAGACGCGACGCGATGGCTGAATTATCGCAGAGTGGAGGGAGGACTCGGAATACATCCCAGAGTGACAGCTTTTGCTGCGAGCTGTTTGTTTACACGAAAGACACGTTCCGTGCAAGGAAGCAACCACCAACATGGTCAAACATCACCTCATGATCGGCACTTGGACGCCGCCAGGTGTGATCATCACAGTCACATTTGATGATGAAACATTGAAGCTGGAGTTGGTGAAGAAGACGGAGATCCCAGAGGATGAGCCTATAAGCTGGATGGCTTTCGACGTATGCGCGCAATTTCTGGATCTCGATGCGACCAACGATTGCTGATGACTAGGATAACAGCACAAGAGAAAGAACATCTACGGTGCTTCTATGAAGAAATGGAGCTCGCACGAGGTCAAGAGCCCGAGTGAGATTGTACACACAGGAAGCTTTCCAATGGGCGGACATCGTAAGCGACGCAACATCAACGCAGGTTGCTGATACTGACAAGTTCCACAGCCAAAGCAAATGATGCCGACACCAAGACGCGTGCGATCTTCCTCCTTCCCGCCCAGAAGCCTCCGTATGCCGTATACTGCAACCCTTTCTACGACTATGCTGGCTACGGCAACATCTTCTCAGTCAACCCCGAAGGTCACATCAAAGAGAATATCCAGAACTTCGAGTACTGCGACAAGACTGCCATCCACGGCATGGTTTTCGATCCCTCAGAGACCTACCTCTACAGCGCGGATATGTGGGCAAATCGGGTCTGGTGCCACAAGAAGGTAGATGACGAAGGAAGGCTGGAGACTGTAGGCTTCACTGAGGCTCCCGCGCCGAAAGACCATCCAAGATGGGTAGAGATGCATCCCTCAGGCAACTATCTGTATGCCTTGATGGAGGGAGGGAATCGGTTGTGCGAGTACGTGATCGATCCGCAGACCAAACTGCCTGTCTATACCCACAAGACGTACCCATTGATCCCACCTGGTAAGTCGACCTCCTACTCCCGGCTATCCCAGTCACTAACTATTACGTTCAGGTATCCCCAATGCAACCACAATGTACCGTTCCGACGTTTGCTTCCTCACGAAATCCTCAAACTACCTCTTCGCAACCTCTCGATCCAACTCCTTCTCCCTTACTGGTTACATTGCCGCATTCAAGATCGCTCCCTCAGGCGCCATTGAGCGACAAATCTGCCTCAATCCTACACCGACGTCTGGCGGCCATTCGAATGCGGTATCGCCGTGTCCTTGGTCCGATGAGTGGTTAGCGCTGACAGATGATGAGAAGGGTGGCGTGGAGATATATAGATGGCAGGATGAGTTTCTAGCGAGAGTTGCACGGCTGGAGATTGGTGAGAAGGGTTTTGGTATGAATGCTATCTGGTACGACTAGACCGATACACAATACTTGGGCATAGAGGATACGTGGATAGCATCAAGAGAATTAGCAATACAAAAACTTCATCTTCAGCATGCTAGCATGATTTCTGATGTGGGTGAGCACTGCATGCATCGATGGTCCTCCACGTCCCGAAGCGTAGCGTACACGCGTGGTAGCGGCGGGTCTGTGTTCAGCCTCGGAAGAATGAGGGGCAGCGGTACCGCCGTCGCCCGAACTAACGCCAGCCGGCAGATGTCGTCGGGGGAGCTCTTCTTTCCCCAACTTCGTCATGGCCTGCACGAGATAATTGGAGTAGTATAGTCGCAACCATCGAATCTAATCGTTTTTTAATCTTCCATTTCCACCCAGTCGTCTCTCATCTACTTGCGACACTTACACTGAAGGTTACAGCTACCCACACAACAGATACAATGTCAGCCAAATCAACACCAGGCATTTTGTACGTGACGATGCAGCCCAAGGAGGGCTTGCCTGAAGCACAGTTTCACGATTGGTAAGTTGACCCCTCCGCAGTCGCATCCTGGCCACTTCACGATCCCACCTGACACTTTTCCCTCCAAGGTACCAGAACGAACACGGCCCCAATCGTCTGCGCCTCCCCTTTTGTAACAATGGCTTCCGCTATCGCGCCACGGATCTCGAAAGCGCGTCTGGATCCAAAGATAAGCCGGAATGGATGGCCATCTACGATTTCGACGAGCTCGAGTGGCTGACGAGAGAGCCGTACACGAAACTCCGTAGCGCACCGGTGCAGTCGCAACGAGAACGCGACACTATGAAGCAGATATTCGTCGACAGGCGATCCTACGATCTACTCGGCGAGTGGAAGGGTGGAGACTTCAAGGATCTGCAGAAAGTTGAAAACGAGGGGGAGAAGAACGTCATGATTGCCGTGAGCTTTGCGCTGCATGAGGGCGCAGACAAGGAAGAGGAGCTGAAGAAGTGGTACGATGAGGAGCATGTACCTCTTCTGCAAAAGGTGCCCGGCTGGAGGAGGACAAGGAGATTCGTAACATCATACCTAGATCTAGAGAGCGGACACAAGACCGAGAAAGAGTACCTCGCGCTGCACGAGTACGCACCGCAGAATGGGCTCGGAGGACCCGAGTTCAAGGCTGCTACTACGACGGAGTGGTGCGACAAGATCTACAAGGATGTCGTACAAGACAGGAAGAGGAGGGTGTACGATCTCTATTACACCTTTGGTGCTGCACAGCGCGACCTCCAAAGTCTGGCGAGCAAAGACACAGTACCAGCAGAGAGTTCAGAAGGCATGGTCAAGACATACCCAGCACACACGACACCAGAGAAGCGACCAGTAATCGAGAGCTTCGTCACAACAAAAGATGGCGTGCAACTGCCGTACCGCGTCGAAGGCTCCAGCGATCCCAATGCGCCTCTTCTCGTGCTTTCAAACAGTATACTTGTCGACTACGGCATCTGGGACGACTTCGTAGCCGGGTTCACAAAAGCCACAAACAACAAGTATCGCATCCTCCGCTACAGCACCCGTGGCCGCAACACACTTCCATCGGATACCACATCGCCCATCACAGTACACACGCTTACCGAAGACGTAATCGCCCTCCTAGACGCCCTTCGCGTCAAGGAAGCCTCCATCGTCGGCGTCTCTCTCGGCGGCGCAACAGCACTCAACGCAGGCCTATCCTACCCAGACCGCATCACCGCATTCATAGGCTGCGATACCAACGCCTTCGCGCCCCCCTCCAACGCCAACGCCTGGAACGGCCGCGTCGCC